AAGTATGTTTTCAAAATTTATTTTATTTTTAGTTTTTGTGGGCAGTTGAAAAGATGTGTCATCTATCAGGGCTTAGAGTTTGATGTGCATATCTGTTTAATTAAATTAATTAATTCTGTTTCACTACATGTATATTTACATCTTTGTCTTTTGATCTAACCAGAATGGGGGTTTTTTTGGCTTGTTTTACTGTCTTTTTATTGTTAATTTCTTACAAGTTTTATTGTGGTTAGAAAGTATAGTCTGTGTGAAATAAATTATTTGAGATGGATTAAAATCTTTCTAGCTTAGTAAATTTTCAGTACTTTTGAATGCTTCGACTGTGCTTCATTTTTAGAAATGCATTCTCTAATTGTTGCATTAAATGTTTTATAGGTGTACATTATATCTAGACTGTTTGTTAATTTTGATGTTTATATCTTCTGTATCTTTACTACTATTTTTGTTTAATTTATTAGTGTCTCAAGGAAATATGTTAAAGGCTTACACCATTCTAAATCACTTCTCCCTATACTCTTGTGATTTTGATTTTACTTTTGGCTTTAGTTATTTTTAGTCCTTATTTTCACATAATTAAGTTTCATAATTGTTGTATCTTCTTAACAAATTGTCCCTTTTATCATTAAGTAATGCTTCTCTTTTTTCTTATAAATGCTTATCCCCTTATATTCTACTTTTATATATTACTGTTGCTATACAACTTTGTTTTGGATAGTATTTGCTTTGTATATATTTTCCCTTTCATTTTTAACATTTCTGTTTTATTTTATTTAGGTGTGTCTTTTGTATTTGATAGTGTCTGCCATTTTATAAGTCAGATTATAGCATTGACATTTACTAAGATTTCTGATATATTTAGGCTTGTTTTGTTGATATTATTTTATATCTTCTTTTAACCATGCCTTTTATTGACTTATTTGTATTCCTTTTCTTCATTTTGCTTTTGTTTGCTTGTTTCTGTTTTTGACTGATGCAGTATTTCTAGTCCCTTTTTTTCTCCTGTTGTTTTTGAAGTTTTGTTTTTTAATCTTTTCTTTTAGTGGCAACCATTAATACAGTTTTAACACACGTGTTTAATCATAGATCCCCTGACCCCCATTTGTAGTTATTCAGTATTTCTGTCCTGTTCTTGTTTATGGCAAAGAGCTTAGCATGTTTTACTGAACTTCTTCCCTGAACTTTTATCTTGTAATTGTTTGCCTAGAACTTAACTACACTCATTTTTAAACAGAAAAATTAATAATTTAAAAAAATATTCCACAGTGCTAAAATTGCTGTTGTAACTGGGCTCGGTGGCTCAGCCTGTAATCCCGCGCCTTTGGGAGGCTGAGGTGAGTGAATTGCCTGAGCCTGTTGGTTCGAGACCCGCCTGGGCAGGCGAGACCTCATCTCTACAATAAATCAAAAAATTAGCCGGGTGTGGTAGCACGCCTCTCATTCCGGCTCCTCGCAAGGCTGAGGCGGAAGGATCGCCGGAGCCCAGCAGGTCGAGGCTGCGGTGGCTGGGAGCGGCCACTGCACTCCAGTCTGGGCGACAGAGTGAGACTCCAACTCTAAAATAAATAAATAAATAAACAAATAAATAAAATTGCTGTTGTATTTTACCACCACCTATGCTATTGTTTCTTATAACTCACCCTTTTTAGGTACAAGTTAATTCTTATCAAATTTATATATTTTAATAACTGTCAGAGAAAGTCTATGAGTGATAAATATTTTAAGTATTTGTCTGTTTGTGTCTTAATTTTGACGCCTTTAAAATTATTAAACTGGCTAGTGAGCTGGTTATACAATTCTAGGCTAACAGTTATTTTTTCTCAGCTCTGTAAATATATTAGTCCATTTGCTTTTGGTATAAGTTGCTGTTTCTGAATAATTTCAGGTCAGCCTAATACGCCTTCCTATCAAGATAATTTTTTTCCCTTCTAATTGGTTTAATATTTTATTTTACCTTTAATTTTCTATAGTTTTATTCCAATGTGTCTAGTGATTTTAATTTCTTTATTTGTCTTGGCACTTGATGAGTACTCTCAGCCTTAACATTCATGGATTTTTTTTTCAGTTTTAAACAATTATCAACTTTTTATTTATTTACATATTGCTTCTGGGTTGGTTCCCTTTTTTCCCCTGGAACTTCTGTTAGATGTAGTTTGGTGTCTTTCACTCTAAACTTTATGTCTTCTAACTATTTTAAAATAGTGTTCATCTATTTCTTCACGCTGCATTCTGTATATTTTAATGGTAATTTTACTGTAAAGTTGAGAAAAAGAAAGCCCTGATATTTATGCATAAGATATCATTTTACCTAAAAATTCTGCTTTCTTATTTCAACTACTCTTTTTCAACTTTTTCATTTGTCCCTTTTATAAAGGCATCAGAAATACTGTTTTATTCATTTAAACAGTACATTAGTCACTGTGCTAACCTTGAGGATTGAAAGAGGTTTTAGACGAATAATTCCTGACCTAAAGTTCAAGGTTTTTATTACTAAATGTGGGACAAAGACATAAACAGATTATTTTAATAGTGTCTGTGTGACAAGTGACCCTATACAAGAAACACATACAGATGATCTAAGATTAAGGAAAAGAGCATTTGCGTCTGCCTAGCAAGTCAGGGTAACTGGAAAGAGATGACACAACCATTAATGTATTTGCTATATCTATAGATGTGCTGATTCTGGATATTTCATATAAAGGGTGGTTCTGTGTGATTGGCTTCTTTGACTTAGTCTAAACTGGATTCTTAAAAAAGAATAACATTAGTGAGGGAGATCTTGGCCAAGTGAAACCCTCCCATTTTCCCTCACTCTCAATAGATGAGCTTGCCTTAGGCTTCACTGAAAAAATGAGATTTTCTCAGAAAGTAGATACATCTTTTATGGCCAATGTGCCAGTTTTTCTAGGCTCTCCATATATTTGTCCCCAAAATATCCCACTTCTAAGATATTGCTCATAATACTTACTTGGCTTTGATATATTTATGTTTTAACTAAAGTGAGTACATAATTTATTGTTCAAGTTTAGATATTTTTGGAGCATAGGGGATACTGATAATAACTATGCCAAAGCAACAGTCATAACTGATTATTGGAGCTGATCATTATATGTATCTATCCCACCTCTTCATCTAGATTGTGGACCCCTTAGAAAGCAGAGATGTGCTCTATACATCTTTTTGCTTTTAGTTCAACCCAGTGCTTGCTACATGGTAAAGAGTAAATCTCTGCTAAATAATAAAAATGATAGCATAGCAGTGATTATGATTATTTTAAATCAGATTGTACAAAGGAGTGAATTTCCAGTCTCAACCAAATACAGGAGCTGGTACTTTTTTTTTAACCCATCACAGCCCCTGAGGTGATCAGGACCATCCTTACTTTATTTTGGTGGGGTTTAGATGTTTCCAGAAACATTGAAGAGAGGAATGTCCTTTTGCCAACACATTCCCATTCTTCTTAACCTCTTTTTCCTGTCTTGCTATTCTAATCCAGATAGGAGAGGCTAGACATGGTCCCCTCATGTCATAGGAGAGTGGGAAGACAGAGAGACTATGTCTAGCCTCTCCTCCCATTGGCTTTTTGTATAAATTTTTAAAAAGTGAAACAGCTTTATTGAGATATACTTCACATACTATGCATCTTACTCATTAAGGTGTACTATTCACAAAGTCATGCATTTATCACCATAATAAATTTTAGAATATTTTTATTACACCCAAAAGAAATCTTGTCCCCATCCATACCCAGTCCTGTGCAACCACCAATGTATTTTCTGTCTCTATAGATTTGCCAGTTCTGAACATTTCATATAATGGAAATTACATGATGTATAGTCCTTTGTGACTGGCTTATTTCACTTAGTTTACTGTTTCCAAGGTTCATCCATGTTGTAGCATTTAATGATACTTTGGTTATTTTTATTGTCAAATAATACTCATTTATATTGATATATCACACTTTATGCGCTCATCTATCAGTAGACATTTGAGTTGGTTATTGGAAAGAATACTTTCGTGAACATGAGTATACAAATATTTGTTTGAGTCCCCACTTTCAATTCTTTTAAACATATACCTGAAACTGGAATGGTTGACTCACATTGTAATTCTGTTTAATTATCTTGAGGAGCCACCATACTCTTTTCCACATAGGCAATAGCATTTTACATTCCTACCATAAATGCACAAGGGTTTTGATCTCTCTACATTCCTGTCAACATTTATTATTTTTCTTTTCTATTATAGTTACCTTGATGGCTATAAAGTGGTATCTTGTGGTTTTTGACCTGTATTTCCTTAATGGCAAATGATCTTGAACATCTTTTCATGTGCTTATTGGCCATTTGTATACCTTCTTTGGATAAATATTTATTCAAATCCTTTGTCCAGTTTCTTTTGGGTTATTTGCCTTTTATTATTGAGTCTCTTTCTATTCTATTCATATGCGGATGTGATTTATCTGTAAATATGGTGAAACTTAAGCTTCAAATCTGTTATTTACAGGAGTCCTTTCTAGGACATTCAGTAGACTCTAATAATGTGTCCATATAAACATGAATTTTTATAAAATTTTGGAAAAACCATCCTTAAACAATTATTAAGATTGCTGCCTTTTTCCACTCTGACTTTCCTTCAGACTTGCTTCCTTTCATGCTAATTGGTATTGGGGTGGCCACAGAAATTTTGTATTCATAATTTTACGTTTTCTTTTTAAAAGGCCCCCAAATTATATAACCTAGAGCCCCACAAAACCTAATGTGCCTCCTCTTGTATATAAAGATTCTTAGCTCTATTCTCCTGAGAGCCCTCTATTAGTCTCAAATGCCTAGCTTGGAAGTAGAAATAACATGCTTACACAAAATCTTTCTTTCTTTTTTAGCAAGCTTCTGCCTGGAGAAATATAATTCTCATTCATGTATATGATGGCTTCTGACTGAGAAAGGAGGGATGAATAAACAACGTTCTAGAATGCTTTGTCTTGATTTTTCCTCTCCTTCCAGCTCCTGTCATCACCACGCCTCTTGAAACAGTGGATGCCTTAGTTGAAGAAGTGGCTACTTTCATGTGTGCAGTGGAATCCTATCCCCAGCCTGAGATTTCCTGGACTAGAAATAAAATTCTCATTAAGTAGGTATTCTATCTCTTTCTGGTAAGGATGTTCACTGTTGCCTTGCAGTTTATCTTTGGCATAAATATAACCACAGCTATAGATATATTAGGGTTCACCTTTTAGAATACATAAATTGCAAATTTCCTCATTTCATAAATGTAAGATCTGATTGATTGAACTTAGGAGAATTTCTTTTTAAAAAATTTTTTATTTTAAATATGTGGGGTACAATTCAGAATTAGGTATACAAATGTTCATTGCAGTTACCCTTGTTGATGAGGTGTGTCCCCCTCCTCTGGCAGTTTCCCACTACTGCCACTCCCGACCCTGCCCTCCCCTGGCAGTTTTCCACTACTGCCAATCCCCTTCTTAGAGTATTATGATTGTTGTTCAAGGTCTGCTTATGAGTGAGAACATGAGATACTTAGTTCTTCATTTCTGTGATAGATCACTCAGTGTTATAGCCTCTAAGTTCATCCAAGTTGCTGCAAAGTTTATAATTTTGTCCTCCTTTATGGCTGCATAATATTCCATTGTGTATATGTACCACATTTTAAAAATTCAGTTCTCTTAATTTCTTAAAGCAAAAGAGTGATTTAACTGACATAGGAAAGTCAGGGATATTTCACAATTTGTTGATATAGGTAAGTCAGGGAAGCCCCCAGACTAGAACCTACAAGAAGCTTCACAGCAATTAGGAAACAGCTTGATATTCTAAGTCTGGGGACATGTGTTCTAAGAGAAGCTGGGGAGTTAGTAGGATCCAGCCTCATCTCCTGTACTTGTAATATTTCAATAGAGTGAAGTATGTTGTCTAAGAATCTGACCTCTTTGTTACCATCACCTTTTATTTTGAGAGTTGGAACTTCAAAATATACTGGGGCCGCCTCTCAAATGATTAAATTACTGCTTGGCAATAAAGAATATGCTATCCCTTCCTCATTATAATAGTTAACTCATTAAAAATCTGTAACAGGCCGGGCTCGGTGGCTCAGCCTGTAATCCCGCGCCTTGGGAGGCTGAGGTGAGTGGATTGCCTGAGCCGGCGGGTTCGAGACCCGCCTGGGCAACTTGGTGAGACCTCATCTCTACAATAAAAAAAAAAAAATCTGTAACAGAAAGAATCATGATTTCCTAGCAGGCAATACAGCTTGCATTAGGGTTATATGCTGTCTTAATCCATTTGACTGACACAACAAAACTACCACAGACTGGATGGCTAATAAATTACAGAAAGTTATTTCTCACAGTTCTGGAGACTGGTAAGTTCAAATTCAAGGTCATAGCATATTTATGTCTGGTGAATGACAGCTTTCTGGTTCATAGACGGTTTTCTTTTTGTTGCGTCCTCACATGGGAGAAGGGGTGAGGGAGTTCTTCTGGGTCTCTTTATAAGGACATTATTCTCACTCATGAGGGGATTAGAAACTTAATAACATTGGGGATTAGATTTCAACATATAAATTCTGGGAAAACATAAAAATTTGGTCTATAGCAAGTGCTTAAACTGGTATCCATAGACTAGTGTTCATGAACTAGGATGGGGAAGAATATGACATCTTCTGTTTTGTTAATGTCTAACTGAAATTTGTAATGTGGGAAATCACCCTGTGCTGTGGCAGCCTTCAAATACTCTGTCAGGCAAGCTATTCCAGAAGTTCTGGAACAGGAAAGCTCACATACCAAATTAAGATATTTGAAATACTTTTCTGGATCTTTTGCAATCTGGATAGACTGAGAATTTCCCAAATCATCAAGTCCTGGTTCTTTTTTGTTTATCAGGTCTTCGCTCAAATTATCTTTATCCTCTCGAATTTTACTATAAGTAGCAAAAAGAAACCAGGCCAGAACATTACTATTTGACTTGGAAATTTCCTCAGCTAAATGTCTGAGTTCATCATTTATATGTTTTATTTTCCACATAACTGCAGGACACCATTCAGCTTAGCTATCTGCCCTATAGAACAAGGATCCCATTTCTTCCCCTTCTCAGTAACAAGCTCCTCATTTCCATCTGAGCCCTCACCAGTCATAATATTCATATTTCTTCCAACAGTCAGTTCATGTAACTGCGGTGTTTCCTAAAATAATTAAGATGTTCTGTCCCACATTCCCCACTGCTTTCTGCGTTCTCAGCAGCACAGTCTTTTACATGTATACTTCCACTGAAAGTCTCTTCAAGGAAATCTAGCCTTTTTCTAGCACATTCCTCAAAATTCTTTTAGTTCTCCCCACTCCCCTATTGTAAAGGCAAGCCACATAAACATTTTAAAGTATTTGTTATGCCAAGTGTGGTGATTCATGCCTGTTATCTCAGCACTTTGGGAGGCTGAGGTGAGAGGATTGCCTGAGCCCAGGGGTCAACTTGGCAAGACCTTGTCTCTACAATTAAAAAAAAAAAAAATTAGCCGGGCGTGGTGGAGCGTGCCTGTGGTTCCAGCTACTTGGAAGGCTGAGGCGGAAGGATCACCTGAGCCCAGTAAATTGAGGCTGTAGTGGCCATGAGTATGCCACTGCACTCCAGCCGGAGTGACAGAGTGAAGTTCTGACTCAAAAAACAATAAAAATAGAAAGTATTTTTTGCAGCAGCAGCACACTTCCAGGTATAAAAATCTGTATTTATCCTACTGTTGTTGTAATGAATTATCACAAACTTTTTGGTCTTAACATACATTTATTATCTTATTGTTCTGGAGGTCACAAGTGTAAAGTAAATCTTGCTGGGCTAAAAAATCAGTGTTGGCAGGGCTGAGGTCCTTCTGGAGGCTCTAGAAAAAAATCTGATTTCTTGCCTTTCTCGATTTCTAGAGGCCACCTGCATTCCTTGGCCCCTTCCTCCACTTACAAAGCTAGAAATCATACCAACTTGGACCTCTGCCTCCACTGTCATGTCTCATCTTCTGACTCTTCTGTCTCCTCTCCCATCTTTCATGGACACTTATTATACATCATGCCCATAACCCAGGAGAACCTGAAACTCATTTTAAGATTCTTAACATCTGCAAAGTTACTCTAGTCATTTAAGGTAACATATTCATAGGTTCTGGTGATTAAGACAATAATCTTTGGAGGACTATTATTCTGCTTACTGCACACATTTGGCATAAAGAATCCTTATTTGGTTATTTTTTGAAAAGACTCACTTTTATGTTGATGCTTCCCTCAGATTTCTTTCTGTTGCCCTAACACCCTTCTGAACAGTGTGTGTAAAATTAAATAGATAATATATGTAAATCATTTATTTTTACATTTCGAAGCTGTTTTGCTTCCTTGCATACCCTGAGTAACTGGAAGAACTATGCCTGGCACTTGTTAGCACTCAATAAGTATTTGTTTTATTCAAAAAATAAATATTAAACTAAATGTTAGCTATTTCTATACATAGTTAACCCTTTCTGCTTTTTACATTTATACGTGTGCATGTTTGTTATCTTGATGCTATTTCCCAGTAATTATGGGGAGAAGATTCATATATCTTGGCTATGTTATACTTTTCTGAATAAAGTAAACTTTAGATTGGGTCTTATCAGTAGACTTCACCCTCTGAAAGTATTTTTGAAGGACTCAGTGGTGCTTCTATTATTGAAGTCTAAGAAAGAGGAGACTGTACATTACCCTAATATTACCAAGCAAGCTTATTATATTATTCAGAACTCACTCAAGTTTCCTCTTACCTTTATTCTACTTCCTCGGTGACATTGGTTTGATGAGTTACTCATAGCCAAAAAAATCACAGATGACACTCTAATCTGCCAAATATTTCCTGTGTGACCTATAGGCTCTTTGACACACGGTACAGCATTCGGGAGAATGGGCAGCTTCTCACCATCCTGAGTGTGGAAGACAGTGATGATGGCATTTACTGCTGCACAGCCAACAATGGCGTGGGAGGAGCTGCAGAGAGTTGTGGTGCTCTACAAGTGAAGATGAGTGAGTAGGAAAGAGAATCATCTATTCATTTGAAAGTTGACTTGGCACACTTTGAAACAGCCAGTAAACAGAGATGCCCTCTACCTGGGAGTTCAGTACTGAGACAAGTTCACGTTTAAAGCACAACCTTGAGGTCAGTTAATTCACTCCTCTTATTCCTGCTATCAACCACCCACCTCAGGCAAGCTTCTTGTTCTCTACTCTCTCCCATCTTCTTGCCTTTACACAGTTCCTTATTTCTTCCAATCTCCATCTAAAACAAAACTGTCTTCTGTGCCTTGGAAACATAGCTCCAAAACACCTTTTTTAAAAAAATCTCTAACCTCTTTGTAAACACTTCTTTTTGCCTCACTTCAAACTTGATTTTCTTCTGAGTCACTTTCTGCTTAAATGGATGCTGTTCAATTTTACCCATTTGATGTCTACAGGGCTAGTGAGTACTATTGGTTAATCTCCTAGCCCTCATTATCACTTTTAAGTCTCTATATTTTTGTATTTCTGTGCCAAGCCTTTCCTTTCATGAAGGCTTATGCCATTCTGACCAATGCCGTCTCTAATTCTATTCACTATGTTTTCCACTCACTTCTAAGTACTCCCTCATATTTATCAAAGACTTTTAGACTCCAGACTCATTATCTTTCTATCCATCTCTACTCCTGCCAACATCCTAAGATATTTTAACAGTCACAAAATAGAATCACTAGTCACTTAATCTTCACAATTCCTTGACCTCCACAAATCCAGTGATGTTTGCCTTACGTCTTTATCAGCCTACCCGATCAATAACCCACACAGGGCTTTGCCACCTCCTGTAAGTGGTCTGCATTTACAACTTTTTTTTTTTTCGACATTAAAGACTCTATTTGAGTAAACAGATTCATAAATCTTGACAACTTCAGCTAAGGTTTGTGGTTTGGGCTACTAAATGGTCTTGAAGGAAAGGCTTTTATTTTTTTATTTGCTATTTACTTTTTTATTTTAAAGATGTGGAGTAAACTTTCAGAATAGAGTACATAAGTGATCATTGTACAGGTGAAGTTTGGGTTTCTTATTGGTCCTCACTTTGCCTGGTTTGGGATCACCTACCAGTGATATTATTGATGTTATGTAAATTCCCCCCCTCCCTCTCCTGGCAGTGTCTCACTACTGCCAATCCCTTTCTTGTAGTATTGTGATAAATGTTCAGGATCCACTTATGAGTGAGAACAAGTGTTACTCAGTTCTTTGTTTCTGTGATAGATCACTAAGTATGATAGACTCTAAATCCATCCAAGTTGTTGCAAAGTCCGTAATTTTGTTCTTTATGACTGTTTAATATTCCATTGTATATATGTACCACATTTTTCAAATCCAGTCTGCTTTCAATGGGCAGCATGGTTTGGTCCATGTTTTTATTATTGTGAATAGTGCTGCAATAAACATGCCTGTACAGGTATCTTTATTTGTACAATGATTTGAGTACCTCCAGGTATATTCCTAGAAGGAGGATTGCTAGGTCTTATGGAAGGTCAATTTTTAGATCCTTTAGAAATCACCTCACTGTTTTCCACAGAGGTTGTACTAATTTACACTCCCATCAACTTTTTCCTTTTCTCTGCATCCTTTCCAGCATCTGTTGGGTTTTTTTTTTTCGTTAGTTGTGATGGCCATCCTGACTGGAGTTAGGTGGCATCGCAGTGTGGTTTTGATTCGCATTTCTTTGGTGATTAGTGGGGCTGAGCATTTTTTCATGTATCTGTTGGCTACTTGTATTTCTTCTCTTGAGAAATACCTATTCATATCTTTTGCCCACTTTTTAAAGGGGCTGTTTGTTTTTTTCCTTTCGGTACTTTTGAGTTCCTTATAGAACCTGGGTGTTAGGCCTTTGTCAGACATATAGCTGGCAAATACATTTTCCCATTCTGTGGAGTGTCTCCCTACTCTCTTTATGTCTCCTCACTCTCTTTCTTTTGCTTTGCAGAAGCTTGTCAGTTTGGTGAGATCCCACTTGTTTCTTATGGCATGGGCTTTTGGGGTTTTGATCAGGAATTGGTTACCTATTCCAGTGTCTGGAAGGGTATCTCCTGTGTTTTCTAGGATTCTTATAGCTTGAGGGTTTAGGTTTAGGTTTTTGATTCATTTAGAGTTGATTTTTGTGTATGGTGGTAGGTAGAGGTCCTGTTTTAATCTTCTGCATGTGGTCAGCCAATTTTCCCAGCACCACTTACTGAATAGGTTCTCCTCTGCTCAGTAATCTCCATTATGTCACTCACTCTCTTACCATGGACATGTCTTTGTCCAAGTTTTTGGGTGAATAAAACAGTTTCCCACACTCATGACTTGTCTCCATGTAGAGGGCACAAATTCTTACTGTCTCTTTCTCAGGTAAGAACAGTGTCAAATTTTCTCTCATTTTCTTATTCCTACTATACATCATCATTACATAGTCACATTCTCATGCCCTTGATTCCTTTCTGTTTACCTTTCCATTGACCCTCCAACTGGGATTTTATATCCTTTCGTACTTCTTTCTTCTACCTGGTGATGTATTGTTAAACACTTATCAGCATTTTCAAACTATGTGTCCTCCTGTGATGCAAGCACCTGTTACTTACAAACTGTCTACCTTGTAATAACGCAACCTTTATCTTCTCTTCTCTAAACTACATTACTGATGGGAAAAATCACATAACCATACACACTGGCACCAAATTAGTGAATCTTGGTCTACCTGGGACCTTTATTCTTGTGTGTGTGTGTGTGTGTGTGTGTGTGTGTGTGTGTGTATGTGTGTGTGTGTGTGTATGTTGCTGTCTTCCTTCACTAATTCTTATCTTTTGTTGCTGTTTTTTGCTAAAGGAAATTATTAGGTACTTTCTCAAATGTGAGCATGTAAGATATTTTCTGAATCTTTGCATAACCGAAAGTCTTACTTTGCCCTCACTTTTGAATTATAATTTTGTTGGATATAGAATCAGAGTTTAAAAAGCCTTTTCCTTAACTTTTAGTAGGCAATGATTTATTGTCTATGACATTCTCTGCTACAGATGAGAAGTCTTTTTCTTAATTCTTTACAGGTATAGGTGATACTTACCTTTTTTAAATATTCTAAGAGTTTTCTTTTTATTTCTAGAGTTCATAAATTTCACACATTGACAAGAATATCTTAGGTTTTTAAAAAAGTATTATTATTCCTGCTCAGTTTTGGATGGACCTTTTGGATCTAAAGACTAAAATTTTGCTGGATTCAGTGGTGGCTCAGCCTGTAATCCTGTGCCTTGGGAGGCTGAGGTGAGTGGATTGGCTGAGCCCGTGGGTTCGAGACCTGACTGGGCAACTTGGCGAGACCTCATCTCTACAATAAATAAAAAAAAAAATTAGCCAGGTGTGGTAGCACGCACCTGCAATTCCAGCTACATGGAAGGCTGAGGCGGAAAGATCGCTGGAGCCCAGCAGGTCGAGGCTGCGGTGGCCGGGAGCGGCCACTGCACTCCAGTCTGGGTGACAGAGTGAGACTCCAACTCAAAAAAAAAAAAAATCTTTTTCTTCCAAAATGAGGTACATTTTCTTTTATTAATTCTATTTCTCTTCTTTTTTCTGCTTTATCATTCTCAAACTCTTAATTAACAGATATCAGATCTCCCTTTGCAATTTTTCATTACTTCAGATATTTCTCCTCATATTTTCTTCATGCAATTATATTCAACTTTCTTGGAGATGCCTTTAACTTTTTCTTCCACATCATGAATGTGGTCTTCAGTATGACTATTCTGTTATTCTGAGTGTTTTGTTCTTAAAAATATATGTTTAATTTCTAAGAATTACCTTTTTGATGGCTTTTTATAGCAAAGTCTAGTTGTATGATGCAAGATTCACTCAAACTTCTCTCTAAGAATATCACTAATGCATTTATTGAGAAAGATATTTTCTTTTTCCTGCTTTAATTTGTTTCCTTCAGAATAAATTTTGTTTTGTTTTGGTTCCTTTTTTCCTTTTGTGGTTATCTCAAATATCTATTCATCTTCTACTGTTTGGTTATAAACATAAAAGGAATCTTTAGGTAATTAGGAAGCTAGTAGCAATAGCAGGACTTTGTGGAATGCTGATTTGGTACTTATTGTAAGTAGGTGAATATGTCCACATGTGGGCTTTCCTTCAGCAAGTGAAGCAATAAAAAATCAAATAAGGAAGTTGGAATGCTCTCATTTGCTAAATAATGAAGGTTTGATTCTAAGATGAAACACATTTAAGTATTTCACTACTTTGTGGCACTATCTTTCTTTTGAATATTTCTCATATTTACTCTGGCACAAATGTTCTTGATTGATCTTGGGCCTATACTAAATCCTGTCTTCTTCTCTTCTCGTCTTTTTCCCACCATCGCCTTTGCCAGATGACCCATTCTTGTGGCTGTACAGGTGTGGCTATCCCAATTGCTAAAATTTTGGAATGCTTCCATTCTACTGGAAAAGAGTTGCTCAGCTCTCATCAAAACTCTACCTATCTTAAGCCCTCCCCCAAGAACTTCCCCCAAGATGATAGTCCATCATCTAAAATCTCAATGCTGACACAGTGGGAAACTTTCAGCATCCTACTTCAAGATGACCAGTTCTGATTGGGCAGTACTCATAACTCTACCATGAATCATATTCTCTTAGAGTGGGGATCCATGACTCTATATCAGTACTCTACTTATTTCACAACAATACTCTACTTATCCCTGGTTTGTTTATTTACATTCAATTTCCCTTAAGAGTTTTCCTCATCCCTCATCCTACAGATGACCAGGACATCCATGTTACTGGGGATATAGGAGTTTTTTGCTTTAAACAAAGGTCTTCATCTAAGCTATAATCTGTGCCTCAGGTTTACCATAAACATCTAGTTCAGGAACACATGGAAGGGATAGATAACAATATAATAGGAATATCAAGTCCTAAACGAATCTTTTGCCAGCACCCATGTGGCAATACAACTCACAATTGAAGTACCTGACCAATACTCTTTCTAAATGTGTGTATTCACTGTTGTTGATTAGAAGGAGGGTCATATGCAACAGATAGCAAACAAAGAGGTGATTAGAAGGAGGGTCATATGCAACAGATAGCAAACAAAGAGGTTAAGTTATTTTTCTATAACATGTTGAAAAGCCTTTCTTGTATGTTTGCTATAATGCAGGACCATAGCAACTCTAAATGGCAATAGATGCCTAGATTAAAAACTAATAGATCATGAAGTCTTTGTAAATATCACATACAACTGCTATCAGATCCCCTGCTCCTCTCCCATACTTCAAAGTAGAAGGGAAAAAATGCCCTTATTTTATGCTCTCCTTTGTTGAAGTAACAAATTGGTTATGGTACACTCCTAGGAGAAATACAGTGCATCAATTTCTCAATAGCCTCTCCTGCAAAGTAGTCTTTCCAGTTCTATCTCCGCAACACAAGATTACTAAGGACATACTTGTAGTTTTAACTATTTTATGAATGTTTCAAGTACTAAAATAACTGATATCCCAAACTTAATTGTATATATTAGATTTGATAACATATTTTGAAATTTCATATTTGAGAATAAAAAACTAACTGACATAAATAGTTTCTTGTGAGAGATTAAACCTGAGTATTTGATAGAACAGTCAATCCATATTTGCTTTGCAGAATTGAGTTGCCTTAAATTGTGTAATGGAATTTCTTCTTGTTACTAATATAATAAAATCTGGTTTACCTACTACAGATAAATGTATCTAATTAATAATCAAATTTAATCATCAAATAAAGATGAAAACTGAAGGGAAAATAAGTCATACTTCAAAACTATATAAAAATATACTTATATCAAAATTTGCTATTCAAATGATTTATGTCTAATAATATGAATTAAATAATGTTGGATTACTATGGTGACAGCTTATGTTCATTAACGTTTTATTAATTATCTTTTAAAATGAAGAATGCTATAATTTCACACTCCTAATATTTTTCATAAATGTGTTTTGCTAATAAGATTTTAATCAAGCAGAAATAACACAATATTTTTAAACTAACTTCTGTTTAGAATTCACTAAAAACTGTCTTAGCATTTGGTGAATTTTGTAATGTAATTTGCCTAAAATTATTCTTAAAAAGGTTATTTATAATTAAATAGAAAATCAGAAACTCTAAGTTTAACACAGTCATATTGCCTTATTAATTGTAAATTTCATTTTCTTTTAGAACCTAAAATAACTCGTCCTCCAATAAATGTAAAAATAATAGAGGGATTAAAAGCAGTTCTACCATGTACTACAATGGGCAATCCCAAGCCATCAGTGTCTTGGATCAAGGGGGACAGCGCCCTCAGGGTAAGTGTTCATTATATTAAAACATGTATATAAAACTTCTATTTTGAAATACAACAATTATTTGCACACTCAGTTACACGGTTTCAAACTTCTAGTATAAAATTTTTTTCATATACATTTTAACCAAATTTAAATATTTGTTTGCATATATGCAAACTATATGGCATTTCAGTTGGGGCTGACTAAGGAAGAAAAAAATGGGAACGAGTGACATTAGGAATGGAAAAGGAGACAATGCAAAAACTAAGCTAGAGTCTTTTTATTTGTTGGTTGGTTTAATCATTTGTTTTTTTAAATGTTGACTCTTTGAAACTTAGGGGATAAAAAAGATCAAAATAAAATATTGGCTCTAGAACTGACAGTTTCTGGGAGAAGGGAGAAAAAGAAAATTTAGAAAAAACAAAAAACAAAAACACTGTGGAGGGAGGTTACAGTAAGAAGACTCAAGATTAAGAAACAAGTATCTTGGCAAATCCCTCCACAGTCACGGCCAGTAGTCAGATTTAAAAAGTATAATTCACGTGCTTATTTTGTACTGCTTTTGTATCTAACCCCCACATTTACTGATAAACTATTCTGTATCATGGTCTCTGCATCTTCATATCACCTTAAAAGTGAGATCACAGACTATGTTTTTCATTTTACTGTGTTCACATATTAATTATACGGGTAATATATAGGTGCCAATATATGTCAATTAGTTTAAATAAAGTATAAAATTGATTAGCTTTCTTTCACTTAAAATAAAGTAAATTATGCTAATTTTTATTGATAACTAATACAATTCTGTGACTTTCCTTTTGCTATAAAATATGGTGCATGTCCTACAATGAAGAGCAAGGATGGCTGTACATATGTTACAAATTTAGGATCCCAAAAGAGAAGATAATGTAATATTTTAATTCCGTGGTTAATTTTTATATTACCTAAAGAATTTTCCAATATTTCAAAGAACATATATTCTCCTAAGGATATCACATAGGGTGCATAGTAAACATGATAGTTAAAAGGAATGCATTTTTCAAAAAAAAAATTTTAAAGATGTGGGGTACAGGTCAGAGTTAAGTATACAAATGTTCATTATACAGGTACCCTTGTTGATGGGGTGTCCCCCACACTCCCAGCAGAATCCCACTACTGCCAATCCTGCCAGCAAATTTCCCCCAGCCCCAGCAAATTTCCACTTTTTCTTACAGTATTATGATAATTGTTCACCGTCCACTTGTGAGTGAGAACATGTGATACTCAGTTCTTTGTTTCTGTGATAGACCACTCAGTATTATAGACTCTAAGCCCATTCAAGTTGCGATGAAGTTCACAATTTTGTTCTTCTTTGTGGCTGCATAATATTCCATCATGTATATGTACCTCATTTTTTTAAATCGATAAGCAGCATGGTTGGTTCCATGTTTTTGCTATTGTAAATAATGCTGCAATAAACATGCATGTGCATATATCTTTTTCGTAGAATAATTTGAGTTCCTCCGTGTGTATTCCCAGTAGGAGGATTGCGGGGTTGTATGGGTTGATTTTTAGATCTTTTAGGAATCGTCAAACTGTTTTCTACAGAGGTTGTACTAGTTTACACTCCCACCAACAGTGTAGATCATTCCCTTTTCCTCACATCCTCTCCAGCATCTGTTGTTTTTGAGTTATTGATGCTGGTCATGGAATGGAGTTAGGTAGTATCTCAGTGAGATTTTAATTTGCATTTATTTGATGACTAGTGAGGTTGAGCAGTTTTTCATGTATCTATTGGTTGTCCATATGACTTCTTTAAGAAGTGTCTATTTGTATATTTTGCCCACTTTGTAAAGGGGCTGTTTGTTTTTTTCTTTCCGGCACATTTGAGTTCCTTGTAGATCCTAGATATTAGGCCTTTGTCAGATTTACAGTTGGCAAATATTTTTTCTCAGTCCGTGGGCTGACTCCCCGCTCTCTTGATGGTTTCTCTGGCATTGCAGAAGCTTGTCTGTTTGATGAGGTCCCAATTGTCTATCTTATCTCTTATGGCACGGGCACTTGGGGTTTTGATCAGGAATTGTTTGCCAGCTCCAATTTCCATAAGGTGTCTTCTGCATTTTCTAAGGTTCTTATAGTTAGAGGTTTATGTTTAGGTCTTTGATCCATTTAGAGTTGACTTTTGTATATGGTGACAGGTAGGGGTCTTGTTTTAATCTGCAAGTGGTCAACCAGTTTCCCCAGCACCATTTACTGAATAGGTTTTCCTCTCCCCAGGGGTTGCTGGTGGAGGCTTTGTCAAAGATGAGTTGGTTGAAAAATTGAGGTTTTCCTTGAGGAATCTTTATCCTGTTCCATTGGTCTATATGTCTGTTCTTGTGCCAGTACCAGGCTGGTTTGGATTATTGTAGCATTCTGATAAAATTTAAAGTTTGGAATTGTGATACCGCCTGCCTTCTTTTTCCCCTGAGAATTGTTTTGGCTGTTCATGGTCATTTATATTTCCATATGAATTTTTGTATTGTCTTTTCCAGATCTGAGAAGAATACTGCTGGTAATTTAATGGGTTTTGCATAAAATCTGGAGATTTCCTTGGGTATTATGGACATCTTAACAATGTTAATTCTTCCAATCCATGAGTATAAAATATTTTCCATTTGTTTGTGTCATCTTGATTTCTTTGAGCAGTGTTTTGTAGTTTGCATTGTAAAGGTCTTTCACATTTCTGGTTAGGAAGATGGTAAGGTATTTCATTTTTGTGTGTGACTATTGTGAATGAAATTGTGCTTTTCATTTGGGTTTCTGTTTGTTTATTATTGGTGTATAAAAATGCAACTGTCTTTTGCACATTTATTTTATACCCTGAGACTTTGCCAAAGTCCTTTATCAGTGAAAGGAGGTTTTTGATAGATTCTCTTGGGTTTTCAAGGTATAGAATCATGTCGTCTGAATTTTACTATGTACCTTCTCAGGCCACAGTGGAATAAAAATAAACATCAACAACAACAAGGTCCCCCTAAAACCCACAAAGACGTGGACACTAAACAGCATGATGCTAAACAACTCCTGGGTCAATGATGAAATCAAAACAGAGATTAAAAGGTACCTAGAAACAAATGAAAATGAAGAAACATCTTACCAAAATCTCTGGGACACCATGAAAGCTGTAGTAAGAGAAGAATTTATATCCCTACAAATGCACATGAAGAAAATGGAAGGATCATAAATTAATAGCCTAACAAGCCACCTAAGGAAACTGGAAAAGCAAGACCACCAAAATCCTAATTTCAGCACAAGAATTCAGATTACCAAAATAAAAGCCCAAATCCAGGACATAGAGGACAAAAAGATAATACAAAAAAATCAATGAAACAAAAAGCTTGTTCTTTGAAAGGATAAACAAGA